TTTATTCAGCTTACGTTTCTCTGTCATAGCCCATCATAAGTAAAGCCAGAGCAGGAACTCAAAGCAGGAGCCTGGAGGCAGAACTGAAGCGGAGGCCATGGAGGAGTGCTGCTTACTGGCTTGCTCTCTGGCTTGAATAGCTTGCTTTTGGGTACAACTAAAGACCACCTGGCCAGGGAGGCACCGCCCACGGTGGGCTGGCCCTCCGGCATCAATCATGAATCAAGACAATGCCCCACGGACTTACCTACAGGACAATCTGATGGAGGTGTTTCCTCAGTTGAGGTTCCCTCTTCCCAAATGACCCTGGCTTGTGTCAAGTTGACAAAAAAACTAACAAAAGGTGTTTAACACTATGCCTAGCTCAACACACACATACACACACACACACACACACACACACACACACACACACACACACTCACTCATTAGTATGCATCATTATTTGTCAAAATTGAAACATTCCCATTTTATATAATGAAATTGTAGGTATATACACAAGAAAGGAACAGGATTGATGAAGGTGGTTGTGAGTGTTGCCCTCATTCAGCAGGTGTGTGCATGTCCTTTCTGGCCCCAGGAGGGACAAGAGAAGTCATAGAGGGGTCCCTTAGAAGGGAGGGTATGAGTGGCTAAGGATGGACAGAATCTTTCCTGCTCCCTAGAGAACACTCATCATCAGTGTCCTGTGGTGACACCTTTTGGGTAGGCCACCAGCCCTGAACTGTCCGGATCTGAGGGGAACTGGACTGAGGCCTGTGGAACAAAGCGTGGAAGAAAGAGCAAGCTGTCGAGAACAGCCGCACTCAGAACAGGGTCCCTGTGAGTCAGGGTGACCTAGGAACAAACCGGTACAGGAAAGACATTAGAGACATGGAAGGTGATACATGATCCAACACAGAAGACATTCTGGGCTAAAAGGCATACAAAAATTTTACACTTTCAGATTCACACACCCCCCTCCCAATGATGAGTGTTGAGAACCAGCCAGGAGACCGGAAACGAGACCAAGAAATATTCCAAGGTTTGGGATATGGCTCAGTTGGCAGAAGGTTTGCCTAGTACGCAGGATGCATACTTGGTTCAATCCCCAGTGTGGCATAAAATGGGCATGGTGGTACACATCTGTGATTTAGGACTTGAGAGGTGGAGGCAGGAGCATAAAAAGTTCAAGATAATCCTTGACTACGTCATGAGTTTGAGGCCACCCGGGGCTCAAGAACAGCCTGTCTCCAAAAAAATAAAAATAAAAGCATTTTTAAAAGCTAAGAACAATAAAAATGTATGCCATGAGAAGCAGTATGGAGAGAAGGAGTTTAAGAGAACAGTTGTGGACATAGTAGGAGCTCTACAGGGAAAGCAATGCTGTTCACAGAGGGGAGAGAGGCAGCCAGCAAACCCATCTACCTAAGGACAGGCTGTCAAGTTCCAGGCAGGAACCATGCGAAGGGAACACACACACATATTTAATACACAGAAGACTGAAAATCCAGAGATTAAAAACAACCATTATATTCTTTCTGCATAGCAACTCAAACTCTTACACACAAACAAGCATTACTCCAGCCCTGGAATTCTTCTTTCCAATGTCAGCACCAAGAAGACTGGGATGTGCTTTTTTAACTAAGATACGTTTTTTTCTGTTGGAGTGGAATATGTTTGCAGATACGTAAGGATTCAGGGCGGTGATGCACACGACTCACCTGGGGAAAATACTTGAAAAATTCTTTCTTTCCTCAAAGAATAACAAATAACAGAAGAGACATGACAGTAAGCTAGGACATCAAGGCATGTGACAAGTGTGTGTAATGCTGTGCTGGGGACTCACAGCGAACCCGCTGAAGGAAGACACAGGGGTAGGATGCCTACCAAGGGGAAGCTTTTAATCACACTGTGGAATGTGAAGAGCTAACCACCTCAGCAGAACTCAACTGTGGCAGGGGAGGGCCAGGGGAAGAAAGGCGGCCCACACTGCCTGAGGCTTCATCTCTGAGAGGAGGAGGAGGAGGAGATGCTGGTGACTGACTCCTCAGGCTGCAGGCTATGGGTGGAGAGCAGTAATGAACGCTCTCAGCTGGGGAAAGTTGATGTCTCGTTTTCCTGTAATAATAGGGGAATTCTGTTTGATTACATAGGAGAGCGGGTAAAGAGCAGGCAGCTATAAAATGTGAAAGGACAGCAGAATCTCAGTGGGCTGGCCAGCGGCAGAAGGGCACTTGCCAACCAGCCTGATGAAATGACCAACCCAACTTCAACCCCTGGAGCCCACATGGTAGAAACAGAGAATGGACTTCTCCAAGGAACCCTCCACATGAACACTGTGGTATGACTCACACACACACATACACACACACACACACACACACACACACACACACACATACATACACATACACACACACACATACACACACACAGAATAATATGTATATGAACACAGAACATAGAATTTAAGTTTAAAAGCCGAAAACTAGAAAAAAAGGTACTCTAATAATACAAATATTAATTGATGAGGAAAATGGAAGCCATAATGTTTTCATGCATACAAATTAGCAGCAAAACAAAGTTTTATATTGTTAATGTACAACTGTGAGGGACCAGAGATGTAGTTCAGACAATGGAGCGTCTCAGGCCCTGGTTCTACCTCAGCACTTTGTAAACCAGGGGTGGTGGCACACACCAGTCATCCTAGCACCTGGGAGGTGGAGGCAGGAGGATCAGAAGTTCAAGGCAGCTGCTGTACAGTGAGTTCGAGGCCGCTGCTGGTTAACGGTTCTCAATCGCCTGCCACGTTCTTCTGCTCTAAAGCTTTTCCTTTTCCTTGGTAATTGGTGTTTTCGTGTTTTGATACAAGTCAACGTGCCACTCCCTGCCCACCTTTCACCCACTAGCTTTTCACCTGATGCTTTGGGCTGAGTTCACTATCATCACCATGGTTGTACAGTGCAGATATCCAACGGCTCCCGCCCATCTTCTGCACTGAGTGGTTGACATCGTGCTGTGAGGAAGAACTTTCTTTTCTACTTGGCTTACTTACGTCAGTGTGGACTGGCTGGGTAGTCAGACAATGGAACCGCAGCAAAGCGGAGTAAGAAAACAGCTGCAGCCATGTGTTGAAGGAGGGAAGGCTCCCGGAGAGCTCCCCAGGGAGACACACAAGGAGCATGGACTCCATCAGAACCGCAGCAGCAGCAGCAGCAGCAGCAGCAGCAGCAGCAGCAGCGGAGCCCACGATCAAGCACTCACTGATCCTGGCCTTTTCTTCCTGCCTCTGTTCTGCCAGTGCTCCCAGCTGATTGGATGACACCGCCCACATTCAGAGCACACCTTTCCTCAGCAGTTGCTCCCTCATGTGCCTGCCAGTCATCCCGAAAATGCCCTCACAGACACACCCAGAAGTGCGTTTCACTAATCTCCTGGACATCGCTGCATAGAGTTCAGTTGACAATTAAGATTCAAGATTAATGCTAGGCAGTGGTGGTGCACGCCTTTAATCCCAGCACTCAGGAGGCAGAGCCATGAGGAACTCTGTGAATTCGAGGCCAGGCTGGTCTACAGAGCAAGATTCAGGACAGGCTCCAAAGCTACACAGTGAAACCCTGTCTCGAGAAAACAAAAACAAAAACAAACAAACAAAAAAAGATTAACCATGCTCCAGCCAGTTCACTAAGGACCCTGCCTCCACTTTAAAAGAAAAATGTGTTTAGAAATCAAGGTTAGTAGAGTGCTTGGCTAGTGTTCCCAAGGCCCTGGGTTTGATAGTCTGCACCAGAGAAAACCAGCATGGTGGCCCACACCTGGAACCTCAGCACCCGCTTTAGAGGTAGAGTTGAGAAGATCAAAAGTTCAAGGTCACCCTCAACTCCATGTTGCACTGGAGGCCAGCCAGCATACGTGAAGCCATGTCATGAAAGAGAGAATCCCAAACCTGGAAATCCGAGCATCTAGACGGCTGAGGTCTCCTAGTTCAAGCCTAGCCTGAGCTACATCAACACTGGAGAGAGAGAGAGAGAGAGAGAGAGAGAGAGAGAGAGAGAGAGAGAGAGAAAGGAAAGAAGGAAGGAAGGAAGGAAGGAAGGAAGGAAGGAAGGAAGGAAGGAAGGAAGGGGGAAGGAAGGAAGGAAGGAAGGGAGGGGAGGAAGGAGATGGCCGAGAGGAAACAAGGGAGCAGAGAAGGAAGGGAGGGACCGAATCCAGGTTCTTGGTGGTCACTATTAAAGTGTTACAGTTTCCTGAATCTCTAAGGAGACAGAGCTAGAAATATATGTAAGTTAAAACTGTAAGAAATCCGTTAGTCTCATTAGAATGACAGTAATTATATATATTAGACAATATATTATTGTATATATTATATTTCTATAATATAAATATATTTACATAAATTATATAATTATAATATCATTTATATTATATATAATATTATTAGATCTATATCTAATTACAGTCATTCTAAAGTATTTAAAAATTTAGAAATATAAGCCGGGCGGTGGTGGCGCACGCCTTTAATCCCAGCACTCGGGAGGCAGAGCCAGGCGGATCTCTGTGAGTTCGAGGCCAGCCTGGGCTACCAAGTGAGTTCCAGGAGAGGCGCAAAGCTACACAGAGAAACCCTGTCTCGAAAAACCAAAAAAAAAAAAAAAAAATTTAGAAATATATATATATATACATACATACATACATACATACATATATTTCTCTATATATGTATCAGAGAGGATATGGAGAAACCACTCCCAGTAGGGCTGATAGGAAAGGACAGTCACCTCAGAAAATGGCTTGGCAGTATCTGAAAAGGTTAAACACACGGTATCTACATGACCCAATAATTCCCCTGTTAGATACATATCCCAAAGAATTGAAATATCCACTTGACAACTTGAATTTGTGAATGTTCTTAGAAGTATCAGTTGTGATTGGAGTCGTTGCGCCGGCCCTAGGCGGACGTGGAGCTCCTTGCGCCCCGTTTCCCGCTCCTGTTTTCTCCTCCATGCACCGGCAGGATGGCCCACAAGCAGATCTACTACTCGGACAAGTACTTTGACGACGATGAGCACTACGAGTACCGGCATGTCTTGTTACCCAGAGAACTCTCCAAACAAGTACCAAAAACTCATCTAATGTCTGAAGAGGAATGGAGGAGACTTGGGGTCCAACAGAGTCTAGGTTGGGTTCATTACATGATTCATGAGGCAGAACTGCATAATCTTCTCTTTAGAAGACCTCTTCCAAAAGAGCAACAAAAGTGAAGTACAGCTGGGATCACCTAATCTTTTTCAAATTTAATGTATATGTGTATATATGGTAGTATTCCGTAAATACTTGAAAAGTGAACAAATCTTTCATCATACCTGTGCATGAGCTGTATTCTTCACAGCAACAGAGCTCAGGTCAATGCAACTGCAAGTAGGTTATTTTAAGTTGTTAAAGATAAATTTTCTTGTAGTTTTTTTCTTAATATAAGCAGTGCCTGTTTTACTTTACCTGTTACTTTTGTTAAATAAAGTTTGCATGTTGCATTTAAAAAAAAAGAAGAAGAAGAAGTATTAGTTGTTATAGTTGAAACAACTCAAATGTCCATAAGGTGAAAAGGCATACAAACAAAGCATGGTGTAGCCGCACAATGGAACATTATCTGGTAATGAAAACACTGATACATGCTACAGCATAGATGAATGGCTAGACTGGATGGAATGGCAGCCTCCCACAAGACTGTCCATGTCTTAGTTTCTAGAATGTGTTAAAGTCATTTGGTAAAAGGGTCTTTGCGGGTATAATTCAATGATGGATTCTGAGATGTGATTAGCCTAGATTATCAGGGTGGGGTCAGTCCTAGTTTGTGACTTGTTGCTGTGGTTAATACCAGGACTCAAAGGAACTTGGGGGAGGAAAGGGTTTCATTGGCTTACAGGTTCCAGTCCCCCACCAAGGGAAGCCAGAGCAGAGGGCACTGCAGGATCTTAGAGTCAGGAACTAAATCAGAGACAATGGAGGAGTGCTGCTTCCTGGCCTGCTTTCCCTGCTTTGTTCAGCACCTTCCTTAATCATCCTTGCTCAGTCCTCCTGTCCCAGGGTGGTACTGGCTACAGCAGGTTGTGTACCGCCACATCAATTAGCAATTAGGAAATGCCTCCTAGACACAACCACAGACTCATATGGTCTGGGCCATTCTTCAGCCGAGGATCCTTTTCCTAGGTGACACTAGCTTGCATCAGGTTGACAAAGATTAGTCAGCACAGGACCTAGTGCGACAATAAGCATCCATATAAGGGAAAGGCACGCAGGTAGAGACTTGAGAGAGAGACTAGGACAGGACACGCACGGAGGAGAGGGCTGCATGACGCTGCAGGCAGACATGCAGTTGTCCCAGCTCCCTTTCCTCTTCCTGTGGTGAAAGACTTCGCCACTGGGGCTAGAGAGGCAGCACTGCAGTGAAAGAGCTCTCGCCGCTCTTGCAGGGGACCCAAGTTCAGTTCCCAGCATCACGCAGTGGCTCACAACTGCCCAAGACCTAGGGAGACCTGCTGCCCTCTTCTGCCTCCAAGGCACTTGCACATAGGTGGTGAATATGAAATCGCGTAGGTATACATACACAAAGACAAATAAACAGAAAAAAAAAAAAAAACCTAAAGAAAAAACAACTGACAAAAGTAACTTGGGGAGAAAGGGTTTACTCCACCCACAAGCCCAGGCTCCAGACCATCAGAGCAGGAAGTCTCAGCAGCAAGAATCTGAAGCTTGTGCTCAGCTAGCTGTCCACTCTTACACACTCCAAACTCAGAGACTAGTGTCTCCACATGATGAAACAACACCCCACAGACATGCCTGCAGGTCAAGTCAATCTGCATCATTTCTCACTGAGACACACATGCACGCCAATGCTGCGCACAGCTACTGGGAGGTGGAAGAGGAAAGGAAATATCCTCCCACAGGACTTCAGAGATAGCAGCTCCCTAACACCCTAGTTCTGGCCTCTGTCTTCCAGAGAATCACACATTTCTGTTGTTTGTGACACTCAGTTTCAACACTATGTTGTGAGCAGAAAACAAATACAACCTTAAAACATGAATCCAAGAATTTAAAGCTAGGCACCAAAAGCTATATATTAAATCTCATATGAAATATTCAGAAAAGGCTATACGGTCCAGAAGCAAGCCAGGGTGCCAGGAGCTATGGTGAGAAGAAATGGACTAAAGCATCATGAAGAAGCATGGTGGGGTGGTGGGGTGGTGGGACTGTGGGATAGTGGGATGCTTTAAAAAGGAACTGTGGTGGGTGAGTGTGCAAGAAAAACTGGCTAGAAACATTTCATTCTATATTTACATTGAGGTATTTTATGGGCTGTGTGTTATGCCTCAGTAAGGTGATTATAAAAGTACAAATTCAAAATATGCAGCAATACATTTGAGAAAAATACAAGAACTTACTTTAAAACTATAAAATAATCTTTCTTTGGGTATGGGTAATATAAAAATGGAAGACATTTTTACTAAGGAAATCTTTAAGTGATATTATTTATTAAATATGAACACATACACCAAAAAGCTAAATAGTTTTAAGAGCGAATGAGGAAAACTTTATCAGATGTCAAAATATACCTAGTAATATACCTTAAGTTACTAGAGTCCTTTAAACAGTACAAGAAAAATAGACAAAAAAAGGTAAGAAAAATAGAAGAGGACTGTGAAGAGCACAGACAACTGAGAAAAATATATTTTTAGATTTACCAACTAAAGCATATTGAAATAATGTAAACACAAGCATCCAAGAAGTAATAAATAAGCTACTTATGGGAGGAAAGGGTCTGCTGTAGCTCACAGTTCCAGGTTGCAGCACACTGCAGTTGACTCAGCCATAGAAGTGGAAGAGGCATTGAGCAACAGCATTTACTGTTGATGAGAATGAGATTGAGGAACAAGAACACTTTCGCAATTCTTATAGAAACTTGTGTTCTATTATCAGCCCATTTGGAAGAAGATTTCAAAAAATGTGTTTGTGTGCAGTCTGTATGCTTGTGTCTGTGTTCATGTGTGTCCACGGAGTCCAGAAGAGGACATTTGATGTCCTCCTCTATCACTCTCCACTTTATTACCTTGAGACAGAGTCTCTCATTAAACTCTCAACTAAGTCTAGCCAGCCAGTGATATCCCGGGATCTTTTTGTCTCTACCCATCCCATCAAGGATGTTATAGGCATTCCTGGCCATGCCTTGCATTTTATGTGAGTTCTGGGGCCATTGAATTCAAGTCCTCTTGCTTGTATGGTGAGTACTCTTACCCACCAACCCATCTCCCCAGCTCCTGAAAAGCAGTCTTGCAATGTGCATTAATGGAGATGGGGTTTAGACATTGGGTCCCCTCTTGAATGCCAAGAGTCAGCTCATACATCATATTTACAAGGATGCTTGTCTCATAGTATCATCTGTAGAGGTAGCAACTTGGTCAGAGTGGCATAGCTGGACCTATATGTCACGCTGGATCCATTACCATAGACTGTTGTTCAGTATCAAAATGGCTAAGAGCAAACTAGAATTATCTAGTTGATTTGAAAATTCTACCAGGTTCTGTTGCCTGAGAAACACAAGTTCCAGAGAAGTGTATACTGAAGACTTATATACTCATATGTGTGTGTGTGTGTGTGTGTGTGTGTGTGTGTGTGTATGTGTGTGTGTGAATGGGTGGGTGTGCCATCTACACTCTTCTATTGTCACGGTATCCCTCCCCGTTGTAACTAATAAGCCACCTATGGATTGCTCTTCTGAAGTCAAATCAGTGTGTTCCCCAGCTCCCTTTCACCCTGTGAGCACCCCACCACAGATCCTTGCCTAAATCAATTACTCCATCGGTGGCTGCAGAAGAGTCTTTCCTTATTTAAAATAAACTCTACTGGAGACTATCCAATCATTTCTAAAACTCTTTTTGTTCCCAGCGGCCTTCAGGGGCTGCATGATCTGTGATAGAGATGGCTTCCTCTCCCTTTAACTTGGCCCTGTAGACTAAACACGAGGAGGCTTGCCTAGTGCCTGCTCCTTTTCTCCACAACCAAATTGAATACGGCTGATGTTTTGTTTTCTATGAGACTATCTTACAATGAAGAAAAAAAATGTTAGCGAAAGAAACAGGTAAATTATACCAGGGATTTTGGCAACTGCATCGTAGTGTAGATCAGTAAAACCAGAATAAAATTATTCATCTACTCTAACATTTCTGTACTTGACAGTTACTTTTTGAAATTTCTGCTAAAGGCTAGTTTTGTGATATTACCCATTCGTAGTATTTTTCTGAGCATGACATTAAAAAATCTGTCCCCATGTAACAAATTAGGAAATTTTATAATGCTGCATATTTTTTACTGCCTGGTTTTTGATGTTTAATACTTGGACTCCTTGAAAATAAACTAGATCCTTTTTAGTACAAGGGACTAAAAATAGAAATTATCTTAGCTTAAACTAAATTGTCTGAAGGTATGATTGGTTTGTGTAAGGCCCTGGGTTCAATTCTGAAAAAGAGAGAGAGAGAGAGAGAGAGAGAGAGAGAGAGAGAGAGAGAGAGAGAGAGAGAGAAAGAGACTATGTACATGAAAAAGTTTTCAAGTTTATTCCAATGATGATATTGATGCTCTGTGGCTCCATTAGAGACTGAACTGGAAAGAATCAACCAAGTGGACCTTTTGCTCGAAAGTCAGACTCTGTACTGTTCTATTCAGAGTTTCTGTAAAAGTAGCATGGATGCTCATCATGACCTGCATTTTCAATTTTATTAATGAAGGCATACATGACTTTAAAAGTCAGTTCTGAGGCTTGGGGTATAGTTCAGTAACAGAGCACTTACTTACCACACAGGAGGCTCTCGGAGGTTGGTTCCCAACACTGAACAAAAGGACATGTAAATCTTAATCAGAATGTTTTCCCACTTTATGTAGAAGCATGAGGAGAATTCACTGAGGAATTACACAAAAATTTATTTTTACATCGTAAGATTCCCCCCCACCAATTTTTCTCTACCTGGAATTGAAGGTAATTCTAGATTTATAAAGTTACATAAAGCAAAAGTTTCACTGATGTATCATGATGTTTTAGCTAACAATGAAGATGGGTTTTGGTTCCAGCTCTGCTGTGTGGTAATCTCTAGGTTGTCAGATGCTACATTCTAAAAAGAGTCTCTCTCTCTCTCTCTCTCTCTCTCTCTCTCTCTCTCTCTCTCTCTCTCTCTCTGTGTGTGTGTGTGTGTGTGTGTGTGTGTGTGTGTGT